GGGAGCCGTTGGTTTGGCGGCAGGCCAGGATCGCCACATTCTAAGCCCCTTATTCCTTATCTTTGGAGGATTTAGGAAAGCAAAAGGATTTCTCAGCCACATTAGAGCCGGGGAAGGCGCTGGTGGGTTGATCACGTTGATCCCCAGGGGATTACAGTGCTGGTGGGACAGACCCTGAGGGAGAGGATGCTGCCCCCACACCCGCCCAGCGCGCTGGCACTGCTCTGGGGTATGTCACGCAGGAGCTGCCTGTACCAGATCCTGCTGGGACAGACAGTGGCTGGGGCAACGGAGGCCAGGGCAGGGCTCGCTCGGAAGCAGCTTTTTTTTTGTGTGTGTGTCTTGCATAAAAATAGAGGAAGGGAGGGACCAGCTGTGACTTTCGGAGGCTGCGTGGCCCCGACACTGCCCTGGGTTCCGTGCGAGCCACCTGGTTTGCTGTGCTTCATCCTGTCTGGGGTGTTTGTTTCTGTCCCCACTCCTGCCCCAGCCCTGGGTGATGGAGGGAGTTGGGTCGTCCCTTCGCTAGGGACACTTGGAACCCCAGCGGTGTTTGTGGTCAGGGACCAGGAGGTGTTATGGCAAGGGGAAGCAGGGAAGAACTCGGTGCTGTTAGATCCAGGGGACCTTCAGATCCAACCCCCTAGTGCTGGTGTACAGTCTCGAGGGAGGTTGGGATGGGATGGGATGGGAAGAAGGACCCCAGAACCCACACCTGGGGTCACTCCAGTGTCTCCTCTCCCACGTGCAGGCAGCTGCCCTCTGATCCAAGATGAGTACTTAGGCTTGGTGCCGGGAGGCAGCAGGCTTATATGTATATATTTGGCACATCTTTTTACATATATACATTAGAAAAATATATTAAAATACTTTTATTGTATATATATATGTTGTTCTTTCTTATGGGGCAACATATACACAGATTTAAATATATGTATTAAAAAGCATATAGATATATTGCTTTGCCTATACATACGTAGATTTGTGTAGCCCACCCAGGGTGGTGGGTGCTGGGATCACGGTGTCCCCAGGCACTGTTGCTATAGCCAGGGCTGGCCTGCCTTTCCGCAGCCACTGGGTTTCCTGCTCCGGCCCGGAACGCAGGTTTCCGGGCTGGAGACTGATTGAATCACCGGAGCTGGGGGAGGTGAGTAATCCTCCATACCGCTGGTGGAAAACCCAGGCCAGGGGATTCAGGTGCTGGCACCATCCCATCCCTGAGCCCCCACCCTATCAGGGCAGGATAGAGGGGACGATGGCACCCAGGTGTGAGGCACATGGTGGCAGTGAAAGGGGAATGGGACTGCTCCAGCCATGGTAGGGGCAGAAACAGAGCTGCAAAGTTCTGGAATTCCTGGAAAAAAAACAGCACAAGGATAGTTTTGTTCAGCTTGTGAACACCGTTGGCTGTTGTTGGTGCTTGGGGTGCGTTTCCCTGCTCCCTGGGGAAACCATCCCCAACCCACCTCCTCCCTGTGTGCCCTGAGCATCTTTCCCCTTGAAAATTTATTTCTGTTTTCATTTTGTGGGGGATTTTACCTGCGTCTCCATTGGCTGCCTTGGACCAAGGGGGTTCTGTGCCTTCCCAGGGCTCCCCAATTTTTTGAGTTCCCGCCTGGGGACGTGGCATCCCACCAGCCACTGATGCCCAGGCTCCTTCTGGGAAGTGGCCAGCCCTATGCTGGAATGGGACAGCCCTTGGGAAAAACGCCCTGTGTCACTGTGGGATTTTAAAAAAATGTGATTATTTTTACAGCAATTTTCCATCTATTTTGGGTAGGAAGGAAAATGTCGAGGGGAATCTCTTTTTATTATTAGTTTTTGAGTTTCTAGGGTAACTCTGCTTTTAACACACCCCTTTGACAGGCCTTTTTGATGGCAGGAACTCACAGGTGCTGAGGGGGGTGGTCTCCATGGCCGTCCCTCCGTCCAGGTGTCTGTCTGTCCTGCAAAACCGGCAGGTTTGCCCAGAACTAAATTCCATCAGTAAATCCATACTCAAATAAAAGCTGCTGTTTGCCAGGCTGGGAGAACTTGCTGGGACAGTGGTTGGGGATGGGGCTCTGAGTGCTGTGAATGGGGATGGCTCTGGACCTGCTGGCAGATTGAATTCCAGCTTTTTCCCTGTAATAAATGAGAATTTTCCAGCTGTGCTTTGCTTCCATCCATGCCTGAATATTTGAAGGCATAAAACAGGATGGTTCTGTGCAGAAAAATGGAAAATCCCCTCTTAGTGAAGTGGGATGAGGTGGGCCCTGAAACCTGTGGCCAGCTTCTGAAATACAGGGATTGCATATGTACTGCCTAGAGCGATATGCATATATTGCATTAAATATCTGCTGTCCAGAAAACATTGTAAATCATGGGCTCCAAAATATATATGTTGGCTCACTAAAGTTTTTGCCAGTGGATTAACAGGGTATTCTGGAGCCGGGCAGCTGCTTGCTTATTTTAAATTTTTGAAGATTATTTTTAACAAAAAAAGGAGGAAATGAGCCCAAGAGAGAGCTCTCCTCTTGTTCTTGCTGGGCTCTGCTCTGGGAACAAGCTCTGCCCACTCCTGGCAGAGAGGCAGGGCTGGAGGCAGCCCAGCTGTGGGGTCAGCCTGTGGTGGGGGTCTCTTCATACGGCGCAGGAGTCCAGAGGATGCAAAGCCCCTCTGACAGTGCCTCGTCCTGCCTGGGCTGGGCTGGAGGGTGGAAGCCAGTGGTTGGCATCCAGCCCAGGGATTGTTTTGGGGCTGAATGAGCGGCAGCTGGGGTTTTCCGGGGATTGGAAACCCTTCCCCTAGGCCACACTCACCAGGGTGGGCCAGGGAGGGTCCCCAACATGGGGAGGGGGGATAATAAGTCAGACACAAATTCCTGCTCGCTACAAGTGCACAAGCTCTTGTGCTGGTCGAGCTCCCAGTGGTAGGCAGAGGTGCCACCTTGGAACGGGGTGGGGGGAGGAGGAGAGCTGTGCCATGACTGCCTTCCACAACAGGGTGGGGAAGGAGCTGGGAGACATGGAAGAAGTTTGCAAGGAAATGATCAGCCTTAGTGACAATCACCCTGTGGTTGTCAGCCTGCCGGGAGCAGGCAGGAGGTCCCAGAGGGATTGTTCCCTCCTGGCAAGGAGCAAATGTTAGGCAGGGTCTGGCAGAGCAGGAGAATGGGGGAGGGCTGGCTAGTACCCCACCCCAGGGAATACTGATAAGCAGGGTCCTCATTTGCCACATGCCTCAGTTTCCCTGTCCAGGCACCCGTCAAGGAAGGGCAGGGAGAATGCAGCCAGCTCTGACTGCCAGACCCAGCAGTACAGGGTGGCATTGTCAGAAACCAGAGGTATTTAATGGAAAAAATGAAGGGGATACGCCGAGTCCTTCCCCTGCACTGCTCCCAGCTCCAGGCAGGAGTTGCCAGCACTGACCACGAGCGCTGGCTGGGCGATGCTGGGTGCCGCGTCAGCATCCCGAGGGCGCCGGGGGAGGATGGGTCAGTAGTGCTGGAGAGACCCTGCCGTGCAGAACGGTGACCTCTGAGCTGAACAGAGCCTCTCCCTCAGTACATACAGCATGGGAGGCATGGAGCAGAGCGCTCATGGCCATAAATACAAGGTCTGTATAGCCTCAGTGTGACCCCAACATCAGGAGCCTCCATGCCCGCAGCAGTGCCACAGTGATGTCCCTGGTGGTATGTGCCTATCACCTAGATGGCATTCAAGCCAGGGACACGCACAGAAGTTTGCTCCCTGCCGCCATGTCTCTGCTGGCATGACAGGCCCTGTTTTTCCCAGTTAATTTTAGCATAATCTCCTTTTTTTTAACCTCTGTAATCTCTGCCCCCAATGTGGCTGTGCCAGCACAGCTCTGCTTGGGGCCCCATGTAAAGGCAGCTCTGTGGCCAAGGGCAGTGGTCGGTGAATCCACCAAGAGGGCTGGTGAGAGGACACAGGGAGGGACTTGGCTTGGGGGGATCCCCTGGGATTTGCACCCAGAGGCAGGACCTCACTGTTCCCCAGCCAAAGGGGCCTCATCCTGCTGGGGGTCCTGGGGTGAGATGTTCCAGGCGTGCATCCATCTCGTGGTACTCCCTGCCCAGAGAGGGACAAGGGACATGTCTGCCCCTTTGAGCTTCCCCTTTGAGCTTCCCCTTTCTTGCAGCTGGGGTGACTTCGCTCCCTCCGAACTCCCAGCCTGGGGAGGGAGGGCTGGGCTGAGTACATTGCTTGAGCAGGGGTGACATGCCTAAGGGGGACTGGGTGGTGAAAGGGGGTACCTTAGGCACCCTGACTGTCTCCAAACTCCTGGAATCACACATTTAGATGCTGAAAAATAAACCCACCTCAAAAGCCATTGGCTTTCCCTGCTGGCAGCCACCTCCG